TTGCAGATTCCGGCAGCGCAAATATGCACGGAAATCAAATATCGGCCGCCACCGTCGACGTCGTTCGCAATAAGTTGACTTTGGACATTTATTTCAAAAACTCTCAAGCCGAGACCGAGCGAGACCAGCTGGAAATCGATCGGATGAATTGTTTCATCCCAACTGCGTGGATTATTCATCGTTGCTTCTCCATCCAGAATAATTCCCATCGGCATCGCAAACTTTCAGATCAAATCATCTAGAAGAGTCGATTTTATAAAATTTTTCATCAAACTTTTCATCAATACAAATACACAGATTTTTTTTTAATGAAAGATTTCAGCGCCACTGTTGGCATCTATAACTTTCATTAACATTAATTTCAAAAATTTCTTGTTAAATCGAATTACAGCTCTTGTCTTATCTATATGTATTAGTGTTACATTCACAGCAATACTTGTTATAAAATATTAGTGTAACATAGCGTCATCTTTTTGCGCATATTCAAGAAAATTTCTAATTATTTTCTAAATCGTAAAAATATATTTGTTAACTTGGATCTGTACTATTTATCCGAAAAAAATAGATCGGGATTTTTTTTACAAACGCATATCACTAAATTATTTTTAAAAAGCTATTGCAATTTTTTCTGCATGCATGGAAAAGAACATGTAAAACAGAATTGAGGCATACTGGCGCGTAATATAAGATAATAGCTATCAGAATAGGTCTCTTTCAGGTTCTTGTATTTTCCGCTCGGTCGCTTGTCTAAAAGAACAAAAAACAAAGCGCAACAACGACTTTGCAAAAACGACGACGACAAAGAGAAACAGCCACTCGCGGAGGAACGACGTGCGTCGACTGTTACTAGTTGAAAAAGAGAAAGAGAATAAGAGAAAGAAAGAAAAAGAGAAACACAGAATGAAAGTGCAAAAAAAAAAAAAGCGAGAAGACACGCGAAGAAGACAAATGCGCGATGTGAAAAAGTGAAAGGAATAATAGTAGGATGTAGCAGTAATTCACAATGATAACAACAACGAGAGAATCTCAAAAGAACTACAATATAATGCCGATGTTCCTTTGTTACATACATAGTTTTGACCTACAATAACAATAATAATGGTATGTGTACGATATGTTACTTAAAGATCGCATATTTCAAAAAAAAAAGGCAGAAAATAATATTAACATATTAAATTGATAATAATGTCAATTTCTTGTCAGTAGCACTTATTATTGCTGTTAATATTATATATATATATATATATATATATTAATTTTTGCAGACATTTAATATATCAGGTAAGAATTTTTAATATCATTTCTCTCTCTCTCTCTCTCTCTCTCTCTCTCTCGTAAAAATCTATAAAAATACTTATATATTTCGAACATTTTCACGGTTTCTTGTCGTGTACATTGAACCAGCGAAACATACATGTGCCTGCATCGGAAGTTTATACGAGTTGTGTTGTAACGAGTATGACAGCGCATTACGTGTACGGGTTGCGACGACACAGCATCAGGGACATCAAGTTGCTTATGGGGCCAAGTCGTTACCGGAATTTCAAACGGAGAAGAGCGACCGAAAAGGGAAACGGAGCAACAGCGCAGTCAGAAAATATCGCCTGACCAATTGCGAGAGCTTTTTCATCGCCAGAGCTCCGGAAGAGACGTAAAGAAGAGCAAATTCAAGCGCCATATGTTTCTATCCATTTTATCTAACAAACAAAAAAATTACAGAAGAATAAATATCGTTCTCTAGATCTTCTTTTTGCGCTCGCGGAATTAAATTCTTAACTTCTCGTCTAACAAAGAGGAAATTACTATAAAATTCCTTTTCGGACATGAAAATATTTATCAAACGTTAAAATACGTTCTATTTACTATTTCGTGCAATTACGTTATTGATATTTTTAAAAGTTTTTCCCATAATAAATGATTTAATTCTTGTACAATTTTCTATTTATTCATCACATTTCAAAAGTATTTCGGCAAACAATTTTTCCAAAAGTTCTCTCTTTTTTTAAACTATTAGTTCAATAAAATGTGCGACAAGAAAATAGAATGCAGCCTAAAGTATTATTTTTTTCCTTCTGAAGTGTGTCGAATAGATTTCAAACTGATACTTCAGATGCAGAAATCTCTTCGTCGCGTCGAGAAAAAACGCGAATAGCGAGAGATTCTTTGCTCATCCCGGCAAACGAAATGGCGCAGTTTTATGCTCATTTTAAAGCTCTTTTTATCTTCAGTTTACGGAGTGAGTCCATCGAGCCAATCACGAAAGTCCTGGAAAAGAAACAGAATAACCGACGCGATCGTTGGATTTTCCTCTCTAGTCAAGATCGTCATTTCATGTGCATACATAATTAACTATCGTTCATATTGCATGTGTTTGTATGCAAACAAAATATTGTTAATACTAGTACTAATTTCTTTTATTATATAATAGCTTCAATTTACTATTAATATCAATTTTATCAATTTTATCAAGTAAAAATAAAAAGTTTCAGATTTATTTTTGTTTAGATATTTCTATAAAGTTCTAAGGTAAAAATAATTCGAAAATTCTATTATAAATTAAAATACGTTGATTTCTAAAGTCTTGACAGAATCTCTAATATTCTATTTTATTTGTAAGAAAATTATTAAAATCAAATTTATTAATACCAAAATGTTTTAAAAGAATTAAAAAAAAATAATTAAAACCCTTTTTTACATTCACTACTCAATTTCATTTCACGAATATTTCATTCTCATTATCTGCATCTTTATCCCGTAAAAAACTAGCGAGCAGGAAAAATGGAGTTCCAAGCAGCAAATATAAATGAAATCATGATAATCTCGTCGTCAGTGGTGGACATTCCGACGAAAGATTATTCTTCTTAGCACTCAGACAAACGAAATGGCTCGGTATGCTAATACCAACGCGACGCGAGTAAATATGCGGTTGGCAATCAGCGTTTATATGAAAAATACTCGACACCCCTCGACACCCCTCCAACATCCGGCAATACGGCAAATCTCCCCCTACCGACGGTTGTCGCCGTTTTGTGATACCGCGATATTACTCGAGTCTTGCCTCCGCGAGCCAACAAGTCGCTCTCTTCTCTTCTTTGCTTTCTTTCATCGTCGACTCGAGAGCGGAAAATAACTGGAACTTTGGACGATAATGCGACACACCCGCGCCCTTCATCATCCTCTCACGCCCTTCACCCTTCACCTCGTTCATACGGCTTTCCTGCGGATTTTCGTCGAAAATCTTCTTTACTCCGTCCGTTCGCCTGCGAGCGTTTCAGCTTTCTTAAAAGTTGTGAGAGATAAGAAGAATAATAGTTTGAGCTAAAACGGTATTTAATGTAATAACCGTATTTCTTATCTCGACAGTTAAATATTATTTAATATAATCTAATTTAATATTGTAATAAATATTATTAAATATAATCTAACTAATTTGACTGTTTTTTTTGAAACTTACATAATAAAATTAAAGCTTCCAGCATTAACCGATTTATCTCTTTTAATATTAAACGTAATATAATGTCTGTTTATATGTAGCATTATACAATTTGTAGAATATTTTAAAATTAACAAAAATTCTCGTTCTCTAAAAATATGTACTTTATTATTCTGTATTCTGTGAAAAAAAATTAGTAGCAATTTTTCAAACAAAAATAATCTCTAGATCTCACAGAAAACAATACTGTTGTATGTTCTATATAAACGCTAGAATGTTATTTCGTAAATGTTTTTGTGTCATGATGACACTCAGGTAGCATTGTCAACATGTCAAAAAGAAAAATCTCGAAAGATCATCAGTAATGATGAGCGCAATTTCGGTGCTGCCATGCCGCAGCGTTGTTTCGGGCAAGACACAATGCAACTGGCTGCAGCGACAGACCCTTATGAAAAATTGATCTCCGGCACTGAAAAGAGCGTAACACCGTGTTTCCAGCGCGATAAGTGGACCTGAATAAAATATGATTAACGATGGATCGTTACTCTTGCCAAGTTACCGCCGCAGCTACTGTGTCGGGCGAGGGTATGTATCGCGTGCGCTTTTCGTCTCTCGCTTTAACATTGTCGTCGCACGAAACAATTTCGGATGGTAAATCATGCCAAGAATTCCACGGGATTCTTATGTCTGCGCGACTGCGCGCGCTACCGGGATATATTTTAATGGCAAATTCTTTGAGAAATTCGGGAACAGTCCCTTCGAAATATTTCGCAAACGACCATCAATCGCAAAATGGGGCAATCAAATTTGATTACATTACTTTAATCGCAAAGTTCGCGTAAATTTTAATCGACAAGCGCGATTTATTTTCAAAGTTAAGTGAATCAGACTCGACATTAAATTTTCGTTAGAAAAAAGTTTTGGATTAACTCATTTCGAACGAGACTGTCGTCCATTTCGACGAGAGATCGTTTCCGCGAGTTGTGTGGAACATATTGTCCGCGGAGAATTCCGTTTCCAATAAACGATCGCGATTTAAGACGATTAGCTCACCGTACGAACCGAGCCGAGAAATCCTGACTGGAGACTGGCAAATTGGAGTCTATTGGACTTGCGATTTTCAGACGTCATTAGCGATGCTCGGCCCTGCGAGAGACTGCACTCGGCGGGGACCATTTGGATTTCGTGGCCGCGAATGGGTCCAATCGGGTACAAGGCTAGAATAGCTAAATCATAGTCGCGTTGTGAAAATTGCCACGACAGTCACGACAATCGCACGGAATATAAATTAGCGGTATATTGACAGTTTTGCTCCTTCAAAAAGAAATTATATCGAATGGTACAAATACTGATATGGTTATTTCCAAGGCTTTAATATCAATTCGATTTCGCTCAGAAAAAATTGTTTTCAATTAAATATACATATATAAACATGATCAATCAGATTTAAATATTGGAATACATATAGATTTCTCAGACAAATCAACCAACTCTTCTACTCTTTGTAAATTTTTTCTTAATTTTAGTGTCAAAATTTGATGAATTTATCATTTTATCAAGTTTTTATTTTTTTATTTCATAAAATTGATCTTAGTGAGATCTCTGGAGAGACTTGGATATATTGTTTACATTTTGGTATACTGAATCAACAACAGTTCGTTCTCATGCAAATTCAAGATGGTACAGAGAGGTATTGCAAAAATTCCTAAACGCGACGATCGGCTGGAGACAGTGAAGCAAAAAATTCTTACGTCTCGCTTTGGACGGCGGCCAAGGACGGGTTGCTCAACTTCGATATTCGCATCTACATTCCCGATGGTGCCCTGCGTTGTCTCCCTCTGTTGTCTACAATGTCACGAGGACAATAATTGCTATGCGCGATTACGCCACTCGAAAAAACGTTAATCGCCGAGTCGATGCACGTACGCTCGAGCGCGTATAAAAGTGCGCCACCCCGAGAGCACGAGCATCAATCGATCTTCGATCTTCGAGCTCTTCAAAGCTTCCCCGATCCTCTCTCAACAACCACAGCAGACATGAAGTGCTTCACCGTGAGTAAAATAATTGGACTTTTCTTCGAAAAGTCAAATTAATATAACAACTGCGTGATAAAAATCAATGATTAATCGAGAAATTCTCGGCTAACTTTTGACAGCAACATTTTGCGATACTACTTGTTCAATTGTACCGAAGAGAGAAAAATCAAACCAAGTTAAAAAATAAAAAAAAAAATCAAACATCTCACGTCGTCAATAATACAAAACGAACAGGGACGGAAAAAGAATTCTATCTTGCAGTAATTTCAAACGTCAATTGGAAAAATCGAAATTTTAATGGTTCCGAGTTTCTTTGAACACCGCGTGTGTCTTTGAAAAATTGCGGAAGCTTCTTAGTGCGGCAAAAACACGTCTTTATATTATCTCTTTGACGTCTACAGGCTGTCGCTCTGTTCGCCCTGATAGCCGTCGTCGCTCTCACGGAGGCGAAACCCACTGGGGTGGAGTCCATCGAGCCGGTGCGGGCTGAGTCCACCTTGCCGGAAGCAGGCAGAAACAAGCGAGGGTTGCTGCTGAGCGCGGCTTACACTGCGCCGATCGCTTACAGTGCATACACCGCTCCTGTGGCATACTCCGCATATAGCTACCCTTACGCGTACACGGCCTATTCCAGCTACCCCTATTACGCCGCCGCCTATAGCGCGCCCTACTACTTGGCCTAAATACGTGCGCGGCCCGCACGAGCCCGAGGGAACACACGCCAAATTATCGGACCAGCTTCTCTGATTTCACGATGACGATGACCATCGACTCGACCGGACATATGAGAAAGGACATTCAAGATTGTTCGTCAACGTAACGTAAGATAATTCCACGAAAGAACGAATATCGCCAAGCAAAATATCCATAACCATCGTTCACCATTACCGGATTCTGGATTTTGCTCCCGAAGCGTCAAAAACAGTATTTCGTTTTGTTCAAGTGAAATGAATTATCTACTATTTGCTTGGACTTCGATTCTCTTTCGAAAGGGATTCCGTTTTACCAGGTACTTTACTCGAATTATACCGCGGCTCCCCGCGAAATTATTCAAGAGTCATACAGGCACGCGAAAAGATAGATGGCCCCGATCTGAATAGTTCATTCGTATGCACAGTGTGGATTCTAAGAGGATCGCAAATAAACAGGAAGCGAGCCATACTAAGAACCAGGCCTTATTCGAATAAAGTACCTTCACTTTCGTTCGCCGATAATACCTCTTGCAGTTCTGTCTATGGACTACGTTATTCATTCTCTAAGGAAAATAAATACTCGTACGTTTATACGGGCTATTTGAAGAACACTTATTACACCATCACATATACGCACACGTGTACAGCATCTCTTATTAGTCGACATATTTACATGAGAATGGACACAACGGACCATCCACCATCTAGATTTGTACGAAGAGAACATTCGCAACGTGATATAG